CGGGCCGCGCAGGCTGCTTGTACACGGCCAGCACGCGCAAGGCCAGCCGCCGCCACGCCGGGCCCACCCCCTCAGACGCCAGCACCTGTGCGTGGAGAACTGAGGGGAGGAAGGATCTCAGCCGGGTAGCTGGGAGCCCCCTCGGGTCCCGGCCTCACGTCGGAAAGGGTGAGTCTGTGGGAATGGGGCGGAGGCGCAGACATGGGCGCTTGAAGGGAGGCAGAGGGCCTGAGGTAGGCAAGGCAAGGCAAGGGCCTGTTCCCTTCAACCAGTTCCCCCTTCTCCTTCCATCCCCAGGAGGCCACCTCTCTCTCAGACATGTCAGGCTGAGGGAGAGAGTGAAACTGGGCCAGGCCAAGAACATAGGGAAAGAGGAGGCATAGGAGGAGAGGGAACACCCCCTTTCCACTGCCCCTACCTCCCAGTTGTCTCCTGTCGCATTAAGTCCTATATTAGGAAGGGCCCTTTAGAGTCTAACACCCCTTCCCATTTAAGATGAGAAAATGAAGACCAGAGAAGGGGGTGGCATGTCATCGGGAACCTATGCAGCCACGGGCCTTTTTCTCCCCACCACTCACCATAGTCCAGTTGGCAGTACCTCCAAAGGCTCATGTGTACCCTGGTGTCCGAGATATTGCAGTAGTTGTGACACTGAGGGTCTGGGGAGGGTCAGGCTGTCTGCAGTGGGCTCCTGAGGCCTGGACCACAGCATTCTGCCCCTGCCCATCCCCACATTCCATCTTGATGGACAGGGATCAATAAGCCCATCCCAATCCCTCTTGCTGGTAGGGATCTCCACACTAGCCTGTCTTACCGGAGCTGTAAGCACTAGAGGTCGTGGCAAGGGTCGTTGTTGCCTCTTGGATTCCTACGAGAGACCAAAGGAGAAATTTAACCTTAATCCCTGCTCCCCCCCGCCCCCCATCCATCTATTCCCTTAAGGCACAAGAGGGCAAGCATCCTTTGCCCTTCCCAGGACCTGAGTCCCAATCCCTAGCCCCTTCTTCCTTCAGACCCAGGAGTCTGCACCCCCAGCCCCCTCCTCCCTCAGATCAAGGAGTCTAGACTCTCAACCTTTTCCTCCCCAAGACCAAGGAGACTGGAATTTCAGTCCCCACTTCCCCAAGAACCCAGAGTCTGGCCTCCAGCCTCTAGCTCCCATCCCAGGGACCGAACCCTCATCACACTTGTCTACTGGAGATCTGTGATGTCTCATTCCAACCCCATTTAGGACTTGTGGCCCCTCAGGACTCACGCTGGCAGGGCATCCTGGGGGAGCCACTCTGCTGGTAGCCAGGACCACAGCGGTTGCATGTCAGGCCGGTGACCCCTAACTTGCAGGAGCACTGCCCGCTGGTCTGGTTGCAGGTGCCACCTATTGCCCCAATAGGGTGGCACTGGCAGGCTATATGAAGAGAGGATCTGGGATGTGGGGTGTCTGGGGCCTAGATGTTCCTTCCTAATTCCCCAGGCCCCTCCTCCCTCAGACCCAGGTGTCTGGTCCTGCCTCCTTTCCACCTAGGCTGGACTTCAGACTGTACTCACCCCTGCAGGCTTTGCGGCTGGTAATAGGCTGCCTAGGGTCCCTCCAGAACCCTGGTTGGCAGTAGTGGCAGTGCCGCCCAGCTGTGTGGTGGCGGCATCGCTCACAGACACCCCCACTCCGGCCTCCTGACAGCCTGAACAGCTCAGAGTTGAACCTGCAGCGTCTGGCATGCTGGTTGCAGGAACAGGCTAGGAGCAAGATGGAGCCCATCAGACCCATGCTTTCTGTTTCCTGTCCCCAGCTTTCCCCCCACTGCCCTCAGGAAATAGACTGTGGGTACAATGTAAAAGAGACTGCCAGGGGGTACCTGGTTAAGCCTGGATCTCAGAACCTCTTCATTCTCATCTTTAAAATGGGGGCACTGGACTGGAGCCGGGTAAACCCAAGGGGACTGATGAACCTCAATTGTGTGGAACCAGGGGGCTTAAAGAAGAGTGGCAGCTCTGGGCGTGGGCTATGGAGTCAGACCCTGGTGTTCGTGTCCCACTGTGTTTCTTGGGCATATGACTTCTCCTTTTTGTAGCTCAGCTTCCTTTGCTGTAAAATGACATTTATAATATCTGCTTCATGAAGTTTAAATAAAAACTAATAAAGTGCTTAACACAGGGCCTGCCACAGAGTATGGACCTGCCCATTTAGAGCTTCCATGTGCCAGGTGCCATGTGCTGAGTGCCTGGTGTGTTGAATTCCCACAGCAGCTCTGTGAGGTTGGGGCTATCATCATCCCCATTTTATAGATGTGAAAACTGAGGCACAGAGAGGTGAAGGCACCTGCACCAAGGTAACTCAGCTAAAGAGTGGTCAGAGGCAGGATGGGAATCCAGGCCTTCCGGTTCCAGTCTGTGCTCTTAGCAACCCCACTCCAGTGCTTCTCACATAGCTCACAGGATTCTGTGAGATTGTGTGCATTAACCTGAGAGCACTTCAGGTTTTCTAAGGCAGTGGCTCTCAAATCTTACTACTTATCAGAATCACTGGGGAAACGTTGAAAAAGAACCACACTGATTCCAGGGCCCACCTCCAGCACTTCTGCTGGGCCCAGGGATCTGTATTTCTAGCAAGAATCCCAGAGTGAGATGCCTATGCAGGGGGTTCATGACCACTCCTTGGAGAGGTCGAAGGAGTTTTGGACTGTAAGAGGTTTGAGAGGCCTGGACTGGCAGGTCCTGAGGACTCAGAGGAGTAGTGGGAAGGTCACAAGGGAGCCGAGATAGCTGTGTGTTCTTGGGAAAATGACTCTGCCTCTCTGAGCCTTGGTTTCCCCCCTGTTCAGTGGAGATCTCCGTTAGAGGTGGGAATGCTGTTCAGCTTATCAGTGAGTAATTAGTGAGCTTTGGATTCTTTCTGACCCGAGGGTGACCCTGTCACCTTAATTTTCTCTGGAAAACTCAGATGGGAAAGGGGTCTAGGCCACCACTGCTATAAAGCCTGCAGCTTCACCAGGGGTTAATCTCACCCTGTCTGCCTCCACCCTTCTCCATCACAACACTGTGGGTCTCCTGCTCAGGTTTAGAGGGCAGTGCCCAGCTCTACCTGGGGGTGTGGTGATTCTCAGAGGGACAGCCTCCCCCACTCCCAGGTTCTTCCCAGGCCCAGGATGAGCCCTGCTGCACCCCCAGGCCATGTTAGTCTTTCCTGTCAGGGAGAGAGAGGAGCCCCCTGATTGGCAGGTAGGCAGCTGGAAGTCTGGGGTGGCAGAGATGCTGGGCAGGCAGAGATGTGAGAGGCTGTGAGGGGAGGTGAAGAGGGGACCCAGCCGGAGAACAGCGAGGGGAGAAGCAAGGAGCTGGCAGCTCTGGGGTGGGAGAGAGCATCCTGCTCCTTAGGGACAAGGGACCAGCTGCTAGGGAGTCATGGGTCCTGGTGGTGGGTGAGGGTGGGGAGAGGGGGCCCAGAACTCACGTAGGCAAGTGTGGGGGTGCCAGGGTGTGGCAGGTCGCCAGGGCCAGTCTCGGTGGGATGGGCGGCAGCTCTCGCACCCAGGGCCGGTGGTGTGATGGCGGCAGCGGCAGCGGGGGGGCCGGGCACGGGCAGCGCAGCGGGCGGCATGGCCGTGGCACTGGCAGCGTCCTCTCACTCCAGCTGCTGCCAGCCCTGCCCGGCCCCCAAACTCCACTCGGAGATGACTGGCCACCACACTGGACTTAGAGCCTGGCGGGGTGCGGAAGGTCACCTTTTCAGGCCCCCCCAAGGCCCCAGGCCAGGCAGGTCTGCGCCACAGCGATCTCCAGGGGCCTCCTGTGGCCCAGGTGGCCGACAGGACCAGGGCTGGGGGGCCTGGGGTGCAGAAGCGCAGGCTGACGGAAGTCAGGAGGAAGGAGCCCCCCAGGGCCAGGGTCAGATTGCCATTGCAGGTGGCCCTGGGGCTAACCTGGGCCCCTGTGGAGAAGGTGCAGGCCTGGGGACAGGAGGCCGCCATGCCAGCCAGCTGGGTCACGGGTGGGAGGCAGAAGCGGGGGCGGCCCCCTGGATGGTAGCATGGGTCTGAGGTGGCCTGGCTCAGGAGGAGGAAGAGGGCGAAGGTCATGGGCATGGTCCCAGCAGGGCAAACACCTGGGAGGACAGGAGTGGCCTCGCTGAGGGCCTCAAGCTGTCCTCAGGTGTCAGCCTCCCCCAGGCTCCCCCAGACCTCCTGAGGACCTCAGAATTCCACCCCCAGCCCTGCCCATGCCCCCTGCCCGGCTGCTTCTAAGCGAGGAAAATAGTTCCATCTGGGGAGAATTACTGTTTACACAACCCAAAGGGGAAAGAACGCAAGCGAAATCGAGAATTTTGCCTGAACTAATCCGTAGCTTAACACCCCAGAGCGATCTGTCAGTGTCAAGGGGCAGGGGCCCTGGGGAGAAGGTGGGGGAGACAGGTGGCGAACCTGAGGGAGGGTGATGGAGGGCACCAGGGGCGGTGGGGTCGGGGCTGGGCAGGGGAGGGGGATTTAGAAATGGATGAATCTCTGAGAGGAAGGAATAGAGAAAGGGACAGAGGCACAGCCAGCATGGGTGGAGGGAGAGGGGAGGCAAGCCTAGGGGAAGGGCCAGGAGCAGAGAAAGAACCATGGGGAGAGAAGACAGACACCAGAGGAGGCCAGGAGGCCCAGACAGACAGTGGCTGTCCACCCAGAGTCCACAGGGAGTAGCGGGAACAGGGGCCCAAAGAGCCTAAGGGCCAGTACAGACAGACAGGCTGGCTGGCTGGCTCCGAGGCATCCGGGATCAAGAGAACAGACAGCCTGGCTGGCCAGGGCCTGGCCTGCAGGAAGGGGAGGAGGGAAGGGGCCGGTGCAGGGCGGGTGATCAGAAGCGGGAGGCCAGGCCTGGGCCCCCTGGGATCAGAGCAGAGGCCCTTTCCCACGTGATGCCCTAACCCTGTTCTCCACACTCGGGGCACGGAGGGGATTATCACCAAACCACCCGGTCCCCCAGCCACCCACCCCCAGCCTCCTCTACCCTTAACCCTTTCCCCCCCAGGTGCAAAGCCCAGAGAACCTGCTAAGGAAGAGGATGGAAGGGCGGGGCTGGAAACCTGGGTGGCTCTGGGGCTGGGAAGTGGGTGCAGGAACCATGTGGGGTAGGGAAGGCAGGTGCTAGGTTCCCCTTAGGACTCCAAGTAGGAGGACACTCAGACCTTAAGTTCTGAGGACTTTCTGATCATCTCAGCCACCCCTCCATCTGCCATCCTAGGCCTCAGGGCCCAAGGATCTGAGCCCCGGCATTCTCTACTCATCCTAAGGTCCCCAGAGCAGGTAGGGGACAGATGTTGGGGGTGGTGAGTGTTGAGGGAGGAGAGAAAGAGGCAGGACAGGACAGGGCCAGAGGCCGGATTGTCCAAGGGGGGCCAGAGTCCCGACCTCCAGGATGGCAGAGCCAGGAGGGACTTGGTGCTGAGATGCCCCCACTTTCCCCTCCCAGGGCCGGCAGCCCCTAGTGAGGAACTCGCTCAGGTCTGGGGGCCTCAGAGCCGTTCTGGGCCCCACTGCTCAGGGCCCTGGCCCTGGCTCTGGCTCTGGACCCGGGCTGAGGGTCAGGGAGGCACCTGGGGGTGCAGGTGGAGTTACATCCTCCCTCAGCCTGATTTCACAGCCACCAGTGTCCCCACTGTTGTCGCCATGTGCAGAGAATGTCTCCCCCTGCCCCTGATGACAGGCACCACCCTCCGCCCTGCAGAGGAGCCTGGCGCCATTTTGTGCTCTGGCGGCGGGCATTTGCCCACAGTCCCTGGGCGCCAGCATGTTAAGGACCTGGCCCCAAACCCCTCCCGCCTCTTCTATCTTGCCTGGGTGGTTCAGGCTGGACCACTTTCTGGCCCTCAGACCTTGGACAACCAGACTGTGAGTCCCCCAGTGCTCCTGAGGGACCCAGAAGCCACCCCTGCCCACTTGGGGACCCAGATGTCCAGCCCCCACCCCTTCTGGGAGCTAGAGCCCACCCCCAACCCCTTCAAAGAAAGAACCTAGTTGTGCTCCCACCAGACCCATAGCCAGGGACACGGGCCTGGGCGGCATGGGGGTCCATCTGGGACTCAGGCTCCTTTTCCCCACCTTTTTGGTAAGCACCCCGCTCCTCAACCCTGACGCTGGCCAAACCTGCACCCAAGACGAGAGTGTCCTCTGCGGTTAGTTCCTCATAGGTCTTCCCTCCCCCAGGAGCCTGGCGGGCGGGGAGGGCTGTCAGGAGTGAGTGCCGAGTGGCTGTTCTCAGGCCCCAGGCTAGTGGGGGTTCTGGGCGGGAGCTCAGAGCAGAGCCTGCAGAATCCAACACCACCACCGCCCCCCCTGCCCCAGTCCCCTCGCCAACCGCAGCCAGGCTCTCCCTGCAGGGACCCCCGCCAGCCATACCACCTCTCCTGCGGCCTGTGTGGGACCTGAGAGCTGCTGCCTCTGGGGGGCCTGAAGCTGGACACCCCAAGCAGGCTGGCCTAGGAGGAGGCTCAAGGAAGGTAGGAGAGGATGGGACTGGGGTCAGATGGGCTTCCCTGGTCTGGGGTCCCCGCTGCACTCACACTTACCCCCTGGAACAGTGGGCGCAGCTCAGCCCCACCACGTGGGGGCTGTGGGTCAAGGCCACTCACACTCAGGTGGGACGTTGGCCTCTGGCTGCATAACCCCAAGTCAGCCCCTCCTCTCTGGAACCTTCTGTCAGCTGTGGGTTAAGTGAGCTTTAAGGTCAGTCCCTTTCAAGGCTTAAAAATCCTAAAAATCGGTTCTCTTAGAAGGGTCAGACCAGCCGCTGGGAAACCCAGAGCCTTGAGCTGTTTTCTGAGAGGGTGGGGATGGAGGTGAGACGAGAATGCCTTGGGATTCAGGGGTTCTAGCCGCCAAAAGTGGGACCCTGAGGGGGTCAGAGCTCAGAGCCAGCCTTCTGCAGGACCAGTTTCCTTGTCAGGCTCACAGTCTAGAGATAGGAGAGATCCCTACAGAAAAGGAATAAGCAATTATGTTCTAGAATGTGGTAGAAGGTGACAAGTACTTTAGAGCAGAAGCAAGTAGGGAAGTGAATGCGGAGGGCTGGGACCTGAAGGAGAGCACAGATTCCTGAAGCACGTGGCCTGGGTTGAAATCCAGGCTCTACCTCTTTCCTAGCTGTTGACTTAAAGCAAGAGTCTTAACCTCTCTGTGCCTTAGTTTCCTCGTCTGATAAATGGACATAGAAATGTACCTTCCTTGTGGGCGATCGTGAGGACTAAATGAGCAAAGGCAGGCGTATGGTCTCACATCGGAAGCTCTTTGGGCCGGGCATTTTGCAACCTGTGGACTTGGTTTTGTTTTTAACCCTCATCTGTGGATATTTTTTCCACTGATTTTTAAAACGAGCGGAAGGGAGGGAGGGGGGAGAGAGAGGGATGGACTGGTTGCCCCCCTCACACGTCCTGACCGGGGCGGGGAGAACCTGCAACCCAGGCACATGCCCTTGACTGGGAATTGAGCCCGAGACTCTTTGGTCCATAGGCCAACGCTCTAACCACTGAGCCAAACCAGCCAGGGCTTTTTTTGCTTTTTAGAACCTGTGTTTTGACACCATCATGGGGTGCACAGGCCGCGTGTCATGCAGGTCCACCAGTGGGGTCTGAACAGTATCCCATAATCAAGTGCCATTGTTTCTACAGCAAAACCCACGGGCATTCACACTAAGATAAGCCTACAAAAAGCTGCACATTGGTTCAGGCCAGGTTTTGTCCCCAAATGAGTTCATTTTGGGTTGGGGTTCGCCACCAATCTTAGGAAAATGGCTGATAAGGAACTGTAGCCCAGGGTAGTAAGGGCTGAAAACAGTGCCTGGCCGGTGGCAGGAACCACAGGAGCCTCAGCCTCCATTCATTACTTTCCGCCCCTTTTCAGTTGTTCAGGCTGCTGAACAGCCAGGAGGGGGAGCGCTTGAAACCCAAGGACAGAGCGCGGGAGCAGGTCTGGCTACCTGATCTGCAGAGCCCAGTGCAAAATGAAAATGTCGGGTGCCTTGTTCAGATGTATCGAGAATTTCCAGACACTAAGAGCAGAGCATTAAACCATACACAGAGCACTTCTGCGTTCAGGGCCTTGTGTGATTGCATGGGTCACACACCACGGAGGTGGCCCTGGGTGGTGGTACCTTCGTCCTGGGGAGGTTTCTCCTCCCCAGTAGCCCAGGCTCCAGTCCCAGCCTGGCTTTGGCTGGGCCAGTGAGCTGGCTAGAGACTGAGGCCTTCTCTCTGTAGGACCCCAGGCAGGAGCTGAGGTGGGTAGGCAGTGTGAAAAGGGCTGGGACAGAGTTGTCACCAGTCTAGTGAGAAGAGGGGCTCTGGGGCAGATGTCACTCGCTTTTTGGAAACTAAAGCAGCAAGCAAGTCATTTCTTGTACCAATGCTACTCGACTTATGATGGGGTTACATCCATAAAGTTCAAGATACTGTGAGTTGAAAATGCATTTAATACATCTAACCTACCAGGCATCATAGCTTGGCCTAGCTGACCTTAACATGCTCAGAATGCTTACATTAGCCTGCAGCTGGGCAAAATCATCTCACTGCTGCTGCCCAGCATTATGAGAGAGTATCCTACCACTCACTAGCCAGGGTTAGGGCCCACCTAATGACCTCATTTTAATTTATTCACATCTGTAAAAATCCTGTCCCCGAATGCAGGCACATTCTGAGGTACTGGGGGTTAGGACGCAATTCAGCCTGTAACAGTTGGCTACCACTGGCTTCCACCTCCATGCCCAGCTCTCCCTAAAGAGTCTGATTGGCTTTACTCCCCTTCCCTTTCCCTCTATTCTCTCTGCTCCAGTCCCTCCTCCTCTGGATAATTGACCTTAGCCAGAATCTTTCCCCAAATTATCCCTTTTGGAGAGACTCAAGCCTTAGTCCTGACCCTGGCCCTTGTCAAATTCAAATGCAACAACATCAGGGTACATAACTTGATGGCAACTATACCTCACATTTCTTTTTTTCTTTTTTTTTATCTCACCCGAGGATATTTTTTCCATTGTTTTTCAGAGAGCAGAAGGGGGGGAGAGAGAGAAACGTCGGTGTGAGAGACATCGATTGGTTGCCTCCTGCTTTAGCACTGGGGGGCCATGGATCGAGGCTGCAACTGAGGTATGTGTTGTTGGCTGAAATAGAATCCGGGACCCTTCAGTCTGCAGGCTGACGCTCTAACCACTGAGCCAAACCGGCCAGGGCATGTACCTCACATTTCAATAAAACGTTTATGTGCCAGGTCCCTTCCTGTTGCCCCTCCAAATTTCTTCTCCAACTTTCTCTGCACTGTGCCCTGGAAGGCTGTCCGGTGGACCATCTGCTGTGGACAGAATGATTGTGTCTGCCCCGCGTTCAGAGGTTGGAGCCCTAATCCCCAGTGTGATGTATTTAGAGATGGGGCATTTGGGACGGGATTAGGTCGTGAGGGTGGAGCCCTCATGAATGGGACTGCTGCCCTTATAAGAAAGACACAAAAGATGATATCTCTCTCTGCAAACAAGGAAGTGAGCTCTGACCAGGAACCATGTCTGTGGGCACCGTGACCTGAAAATTCTCAGCCTTCAGAACTGGGAGGAAGCTCCCAGTCTGTGGCACTTTTGTTACGGTAGCCTGAACGGACTGAGACAGTGTCATGGGCTCCCTCACCCTTTGGCTTCCTGTTGGCTGGGGCGGGGGCTCACAGTCCAGAGTGGGGGAGGACGGAGAGTAAAGTTGAGGTATTGATTCTCCCAGGCCCGTCCTTGCTGACTTAGAGGTGTAACAGCTCCCCACTCTTCTCATTGGTTTCCCCACAGCCTACCCACCCCTTGTAAATCATTCTGTCAAACTCCTCTCGTGTTGCCACCTCTGAGTGTCCCATCTCCTGCTGGAACCCTGAGCAAAGCCACCAGGATTTAGGGATTACACAGAAGAAATCCCCACATTGGCACTTTGCTCAGACAGAGGTCACTCGCTGAATTTCTGGCCAGCTGAGGTTCCTCATTCCACTCAGTTGATTTACAGAAAATAATGAAGAAGTATGATATTTCGCACAGATTTTAGGGACAAAGATGAAACCACAGAGCCCTGGCCAGTGTGGCCCAGGGGTTGGGCTTTGTCCCATGCACCAAAAGGTTGCCTGATTGATTCCAGGTCAGGGTACATGCTGGGGTTGTGGGCTCAATTCCCAGTAGGAGGTGTGCAGGAGGCGGCCGATTAAGTTTCTCACATTGATTTTCTTTTTCTTTCCCTCTCCCTTCCTCTCTCTCAAATCAATAAAAACAATTTAAAAAAAAAAAAAAAAAAGATGAAACCATGGAGCTCCACTGCGGAGCTGAGTACCACTTTCTTACACATCTTTTCTCACGCATCCCCAGAGTGATGGAGGTGCTGGGGGAAGATCCAGAAGACTCAGCCTCACCGCCACCCTCCATGTTGTCTCCCCCATGAGGTCTCCACCCAGAAGGGGCTCTGCTGGTGGCCAGGCTGGCCACTGGACAGCTCCGGGAGCTGGGTGCCGTAGTGTGACATACCATAGTTCTGTTTAACTGAAACGCTAAGGGGATCCATCCCGTCCCATGTTTCAACTGCCTGACTTGGAAAAGGAAGGTCACATCTTGTATTTTATGAGAGACCAAAGCAGAAACCAGCCAGCCATCAGTAATCCATGGCACTAACTCATTCCACAAATATTTACCAAGCTCCTCCCTGGGTTTGCAAGCGCAAAGCAGTTGGCGAGCCCTTGCAAAGCCTCCATGCCCCTGCTCCTCACCAGTGGGGACAAAAGGCAGCCATGAAGCACAGGAACTACTAACAGTCCCCAAAACAGGGTTCTCACAGCCCAGGGCTCCAGATGGTACACAGTATGTGTCTGTTACTGGTTGAATTATGTCCCCTCAAAAGACATGTTGAAGCCGTAATGCCCCAGAACCTCAGAATATGACGTTATTTGAAAATGGGGTCTTTAAAGATGTAGCTGGTAAAGAGAGGTCAGACCAGAGTGGAATCGCCCCACTCAGCCAGACGGTGACACAGGCACACACAGCAACGCCACGTGACAACTGAGGCCGGGACTGTTCAGAACGGTGAGAGAATAGTCTATTGTTTTACGCTGCCCGGTCTGTCTTACGTTGTTGCAGTGATGCTAGGAAATGAACAGCGGGTAAAGCATGTTTATCAAATGGACTGAACCTGTGCTGGGCCGCCGCTAAGCTCCCGGTTTAGCACGCAGACCGGAGACAACACTTCTCCGGCTGCCTTGGCCCAGAGCCTGTTCCTGGTCAGATTGTGGAACCCAGTG